TAAGCCCCAACGGGGATGCGTATCCAAGTTGAACCTCGACTGCAGCACTTGAGCCATGAAACATATCCCTATCCCGTCCCATTCGACTGGTTGCTAAGTATTCCTACTATTGGTTAGTCAATACACACCAATGAGCCAGTCAGTATAGCCCCCTACGATACCCCATCAACCATCATAAATAAATTCCAATGGACTGTGACAATCCCCAATATATTGGTTAGTATAATTCCCTATAATGTGGTGCCCCCTAGTTACAAGCTGGCCAAAAAAAACATCATGAAGTCTAGTTACAGTGTATCTACCATAAACCATACTTAACCTAGTCATAAACATCATAAACCAACTTAGCTATCATAAATCAGCTATAAATCCCATTAAACCCACATTTTCCTATGGTTTCATGGCTCCCTTGGCGCCCCCACTTTCCCGTGGCGTGAAACTTGGTGTCGCACCGCGGAGGCTGCGCAGCGGTGGCTGCGGGTGAACCGATGGCCGTTTTGGTAGGGATATATGATATATGACATACATTAATATAGGTTAGGAATGGTTAGGACTTGGGGATTTCATGGAATGGGGATACTATAAAATGATACAGTGATATATATATATATATATATCATGGGGACATGATGGGGAGACAATGGAAAATAGCGGTATACATAATGGACATGTACATACATTAGGATTTTTTAGCTGACTGATAATATGATACTGCATTTGGAATTGATGGGGAACATGCTAATCACGTCTAGCGCCAGTGGGAATTGCAATAATATTAAGGGCATAGAGCCTGTACCAATGATTGTATAGACAATCACTCAAGTATGGTGGATCTGCCAGAATTGGAAAACCTCCTTTCTTGGACTACACATGCACTGCCCAAAATCCGCTTTGCCATTCTCTTTTTCTGCTTCGTGAAAAAGGGGATTGTAAATTTGAATCCAAATTTCATAAGTTATGATCTCCAGTTACATTAGAAATCATTAGAATATAAGAATAAGATGTAGTATGATAACTAGTGAATATTCTAATGATTTCTAATTAGATCATAAATATAAAATTAGATGACTATGTATGACTCATATTACTTTGTATCTTGTGCTACCCCCGTCTCACGCCCAGAACAAGCAACGGCCAGCCGCGCCCTTTCTCATGCTGCTGCATCAAGCTTTGACCTGTCACTTGAGGATGGAAACTGCCCGGTGCCAAACAGGCCTCGCAACGAGGCGCTCGTGATGGGCTCGTGATGGATCGAGGAGTCATGGAGGACCATGACTTGGGATGAGTTTTTCATATCTAATTAATGTATATAATGGGAGAATATTGATAATGATGATAATGGTTTTGAAACCAATGAAAACTTGGGGATCCCCCATTTTAAGAACCCCTGAAATGATGATAAACCAATGTTATATGATTGATAATTACAAATAATTACCATATGTTGCAACAAACCCATAAACAACTAAGATTACTTAGATGGGCCATGGGACTAGCTAACCGATTAGCAACTGGGTCATAAACCCAAAAAAACAATTATACTACATTTACTAACTAGTCAACTAACTCCAGGGCGCATCTATATAAATAGATCATGATTATGCTAACAGGAAGCACACACACACTGTATGTTTCCTTTTGACAGCATGCACAAGCTATACTTATTGGTGCTTGATCCGACTTCACCAGGCCCCAGAATTTCTCGCTCCATCAAGCTACAGATCTACAACTCTTCATGCTTCTCATCGGTATAACCTGAGCAGCGCAGGGGACATGATGGTGGTGATGTTCACCCTTGGAAAGTGTCGACAGAGTGGTTCTGGATTCCGAACCAACCATTGATAGGACACCGGAATGCGCGTGGGTATGGGTTCAACTATATGGTACCCAAGTTGCAACATGAACAGAATAGACTCAAACGTGATGGCAATGT